GTCAGAAAGGGACTCGATTGTCTCGGAATCGGAGGAGTTTGGCGGTGGTGAAGGGGAGGGAAGCGCTGAGCGTTGGCTTTTAACCTCTTTTACGCTTAAGCGGTTTACGACCACCCATCGCGAAAGTGGCAGTATTTTTACTGTCGCTTTGAAAAGAGCGTTTTATTTGGGGGCAGTGATGGTGTAAGATGGGGGTTTGGGTTTCCTGTTTCCGTTGGTTGGGAGGGATGGGATGCTGTGGCAATGAGGGGGCGCGGCCCTACGACAGTTGTTACGGAAGGACGGTTTGCAACGCTTTCGCGGCGGCTTACCTGTGGGCGCTGGTGCCCAGTTGAAACAAGCGGTGAAAACTGCTGATTTTGGCGCTGGTGCCTGTCGAACGGTGATCGAAGACAATCATTGGGCGCTGTTGCCTGTTGAGAAGCGGTGAAAACTGCTGTTTTGTGGCGCTGTTGYCTGTCAGTTGGTTGGGTTCTTGGAGAGAGCTAGGGAGCTCTGAACTGTTGCTGCTTCGAATGCTGAACTGAGATGATGATGTGTGTTGATTATGTTGAATCGTCCGGTATATAAGTSGTCTGCCGTACCGACTAGTAAACTATCTGCTGCCGCCGTGTTTAGTTGTGTTTACCCGTGGTACGATACATTATGTAGTTAACTATGTTTTGGAGTTATTGACGTGGTGAGGGTATCGTTGGATTCGTCTGACTCTCCGCTATCTGCAACCCTTATTGTTTTTGGTGTGTTGTTATTTGGGGCTTTATTATTTTTCCCTAATGTTAGTCTGTGGGGGTTTTGCTGTCATACTGTGCGCTGATTGGTGGTCCTGAAAAGGACCGTTTTATAATATATGGTGACGGCTACTCCGTTACAAAATGTAGTATTCATTGTTAATTTATTACTGAAGCTAATGCATATTGTTTCAGATTATGTGAAAAAATATGTAGAGGAATATATTAAGAAGAAAAAAAGTGGTAATAATTATGAAATTGGTAAAACCAAATATATTTTATAGTTCCCTCCCCCACAGTAAAGKTCTACAGGCTAATTACTTTTGTCGTCAAAGTCTCAATAGGTACTAATAAAAAAAATATATAAATTATATTATGTTTAGTAATTTATTAGATTACGCACCAATAATAAGTTCTATAATTACATTGAAACTAAAAAAAATAAATAATTGAATGAAACTATTTTTGTTTTTTTTTTCAGCTGACTTTGCACCACATGTGTTTTGTGAAAATTATTATAAATTTCAAATTATAGTTGAATAAAAAAAATATATATATATATTTATTAATGTATGGTAAACCTTTAACTTACAAACTATAATTAAAAAATTTAATATCGTAATACATTATATTAAGATAGGGTGACTTTATATTGTTATGATTTATATATAATATATATGTTACGCGCAATGTGGAATACCGGGCAATGTGGTACTGCCCGGGCAATGTGAACCACGATGTTTTTTTTTTTTTGTCATAGTTTATAGTATTTTAAATTTTAATACTATTATTAATTTTATTAAATCTTATTATATAATGAATATTTTAAAACAATAATAATAATAATAACTGTTAAATAATTTAAGTAATTTATAATAAATTCAATGAAATGAAATTTCACAATAAACTACGAAATTTTTGAAACACGCTGTAAACACTTGTTTTCATTTGCTAACGTAACCTATTTAAGAATCATACATTTTCCATACGGATATGGCCATATCGGAATGATAAAATTAATARCTGTCTTGATAAAATCAGTCAACGATATACTATGAGCAAATTGAGCAATCATTTATATTTTCGACTAACCTAAATAAAATGATAATATTTGATATTTTTTTTGTTATTGTTATTTCATCAAAATATTTGTAATAGAAATATTAATATGATACATGAATATAATTAATTATTGTTTATTCGGTCMATATTATTAGTTGGTAAAAAAAAACATCGTGGTTCACATTACCCGGGCAGAACCACATTGACCGGGCAATATACACATAGCCCGGTACTCCACATTGCCCGTAACATATATTTTTAACTACAATAATAATAATAATAATAATAATAATAATAATAATTAGATAATATACTAATAAGTAATAACATAAGTAACTGTATTTAATAAATTCATAATTTTCTACAGTATGTCAACATTATTATATTACGTATTAATAAAGTTTCACCATAATTATACATTATTATTATTGTTTTTATTAATATACACTCATATAAGTTGAGACAGCATCATGGTCACAACGGACCGGCGTCCGAAATAATAACGCTTGAGTTTTCGTTATTACGTCTTATTCTGTATATATTATACAATTTGAGGGCAGCGAGGATGATGGGTGCGACGGTCAGTCTATGAAGACAAAAAAAAATTCTGAGAATACCTAGCTCTTAAAGCCTCATCATAGGCCATGGTACATGCGAAACACACGACTCTACAACAATTTTGAAATACCATAACTAACCACATGGATCAAAAAAAAATTAAAAAATTTCATTTAAAACTAAACACAATGGAAGGAGCCCTGTTTCACCAACGCCAGACTTACCAATTGGCTCGTGGACGGCGATGACTCGTACTCTGATGGGATAAGGTTACCACAATAAATATATGACAATAGTTAAAAGACAAAATATAAAAATTGACAATATTATATTTTGTTACAAAAAAAAAAAAAACCTTTGAAGTAATGCAAGGTAGGTAAMATAAAAAAATAATAGATAAGGAACAGTACCGTGAGGAGCTACTACTGACCTTTAACAGCATCTATAATCGTTGAACTGGAGTCGTTCCGCTTGATCTGGCCGAGCTGCCGTATCCGTGTGCTGAACTGCCCAGTCTGGCCGAGCTGTCGTATCCGTACGAAGTACAAGGAAACAAATGATGGACCACGTAGTTGGATCCGAGCCGGTCTGTCACTGCCTGTGATACACTTGAACTAGTGCTTCACTTCTCTCCCAGAACCTGGACGTATCACTGACAATAACTGGCGAAAGTCTGAGCTGAACAGCGACTATAATAATGAAGGAAAATGTGATCCTTCGCAACGCCCACGCATAAAGGTCACCCCACACTGCAGCRGTGGCGGTAAAATTCTTTTGTMTTAGCGGTGCCGCCGTGGTGGTGGTGAAATTGTGTCCTGCTTCATTTTGCCGTAACCGCCACCGCCACCGCTAATTTACTATTTAAAATATAGATTYATTATTTTTTTTTTGTACACTGGTCCCTATTAATTATGARTTGGTATGCCTTGTCCCACTTAMTCGAAAAATTTTAATACAGGAAAATATTATTTGTAAATACCATATGTATGTAAATATTATGGCGAAAAGATAATTCTCAAGCCCGTTCGGATTACCGCGTTTTTTGGATTATCGAGAACCTACTGTATATATATATATATATATATAGGAAAACAATGTTGATGAGATAGTATTAATATAATTTGAATGTAATGCAATCAAAAAAATAATCAATATTTTTTTTTTAAATAGGTACTGATTACAAACTTAAGTAATCAGAATTTAAAGATATCTCAACTATAATACAGAACGTAGTTTCTTTTATGTCGCGTCTTATTGGACTTCTATATTTTTTTCGTAACAATTATGGTTTTGTTTTTCATTATTTATTACACTTATTATTTTGTTTATTTTCCTACTTTATCTAATAGTAATACTTATTACTTACTGACTTCTWAAAAATTTAAAAATATCTTTTTTTTATGTGGGATTCGTATTATTTATTGAAATGAAAAAAGTTGTTTATATTGTATTTTTTATCAAATTTCTAACTTGCTAGGCACTTACTTTTTTGAAATCATTATTTACTATATCATATTAATAAAATAAATTATCATTTTAAAATTAAAATAATTAAACTATTTAATACTTAAAATTAGTTTTGTAATAAATTTTATATTTTTATGTAGGTACTGTTATTGATACTAGGCGTACTACGTTAACTATTGTGTTTATTAATATTTAACAGGAGTTACATGTTAGGTATATGACAAGGGATTCTATAACGATTACAAATACGTGTCAACCTATAGTAAAAAAAAAACTTTAAGATATGATAAATATTCTACAATTTACCGTGGATAAACAATAACAATAACAAAAATTGAATTATGAAAAATTACTCATATATACCTAGTATGAGTATGTATAATAATATTAAAATAATATATGATGATCGTGTCACCGWTGAGTTTCAAATATTCTTAGTAGTGTTTTGCCTATCGTGCGTAATTATCACATTTATTAGTGTCTACCTTACAGATATTTAATTTTCTGAAACCAAAATACAAAATGTTATTTAACCCAGCAATATGTACACGATATTCTGCTGTTACACTGCAGCGACGACCATTGCAAGATTTTGCGTTTCATAATATTAATGTTCATTATTATTATAGGAACGACTGTTGTGTATATTCTTCACGACCAGCAATTTCTGTTGCTTGCTTGGCCGTCACGACATTCGCGTGTRCTTTTGCAAAACGAGAGCTCGGTTACGATTTATTTTTTCCAATCGAAACTTTACAGCACATGCGTTTACCGATATGTCTGTGATAGGAGGTCGTGTGGATAAAAACGTTTTGTGAAGGATTTCGCCCTCCCCCTTTTACACTCGCAACACGTCGTGCCTAGAGAAGAGAGATAAAAACATAAGGACTTATTAGCTGAGGTAGGTGTACACTGTTACAATGATAAAATATATTATGTTTATTATGTTATACTAACTGCGAAAGGTGTGTTACACAAGGTCTTCGGGAAAGAATCCTGACAACGTGCGTACCGTATTACCATTTACTGACCGCCAGCGCCTAGCAGTAATATAATTTAATATATTATTATTTTATTATCATATTCTCCAGTTTCACGACGAGGCTTAAGTACGACGGACACGGTGATTTAATATTTATTTTTTTTTTTTTTACCATGCGTTTATAATATAATTCGGTGATAATATTATGATATAATATAGTTTTATATAATTATTATTATTGAAGAAATATTGTAGTATCTATAGTATTATTTGTAGTTTTCGTAACGCAGTGAAATTTGTACGTCGTCTTACATTAGTAATAATAATAATAATAATATAATATACTCAACTTACGGAATATCATCTGCGCGCACGTGTGATCAGTCTAAAAATGGACGACGCCGGTGCTACCATCGCCATCAACGAACCGTAAGTCAGGGTGACAAGCGTCATATTATTATGTGCAATCAACAATTATTATGATGTATTATTTTATATTATATGATTGATAAATATAGGTATCCATATTATTATTACGATACGATGGTATAATTTTGTTCTGGAACTGTTATAATAATGATTGTTAAAAGTTATTCGTCTATCACTAAGGCCACGTGATCAGAAACGAGTGTTAGCGTCGTTAGAGGTCTGTTATAATGCCCACACGTAGCTATAATAATTCATTTTCGATTTACTGTTATTGTTAATATAATCACATACTTATTACCATAACACTCAATATTATAATGACGTTGAATTATAGTYACCAATTAGCTGTCATGTATATTTTATTTTAATATTCTAACCGAYATTTTGTGAACAGTAATTACTAATTATATACAAAATATAAATTRACTGATGCGTAGTTTTGTTTTTAATTGATTGGAGACATAAAAAATTATWGACAAAGGTTTAATAAAATAATTACAAACATTTGACTGTCGAAAAATGACTTACMTATGTGTTTAAAAAAAAAAWWKTTTAATAACAAAACAGAATTAGATTACWTTTTATTTATTTTATTCATAGTACAATATATCAACAACTAGATTATGAGCTTAAAATGAGAAATAGAATTACTATAGTTACATAAAACAATTAAATAGTAATTATTAATTATTCAAACATAGGTTTTCTTGCTTTTCGATATTATTTTATAAAAATAAAAATAGKTATCACAGTATTTTAAGGATTACAACCGATTACCTACAAGACACTCTTTTTACTGTTATATAATATATTATATAATAGGTACCTGGGCAGGTAAGAGGCTAGCAACATCAATAATAAATAATAACCATTGAAGCCTTACATTCAATAGTAAGTAAACTACTTTAAATTATTTKCCCGCAATTTGGCACGCACTGATTAAAATAGAACAATTTTTTATTGAATATTTTATCAAAATCCATAATATAATTGTATATTAGGAGTTAATGAATTTTTTACTGAGAAAACTAATGTAAAATCGTAATTTTAATAAAAACCTATCGTTTTAATATTTATTTTATTTTTCAAATGATCGAGTACATAGCTCAATCTCGTAAAAGATTATATCTTAAAAGGCTTATATTGAAATCATTTAGGTACTTATTATTAATTCACAGCGTATTCACCGCGCAGATACAAAATTATTTATTTAGAGCGTAAAATTTAGTGTAACATTGATATAATAGTGATTTTGAAGTGCCTACCTATGGCAAAAGTTCAAAGTTAAAGGGCTAAACATTATGATTAGATTTAATAGTTTTCAAACGAAATATTTAATATGAATGGTAAAATACTTAACAATACGTTTAAAAGGTATTTGCGATCAATTTTTATATAAAATTATTAAGTGTTTCATAGAATAGAAAACTTTTTTTTTTACATACTTTTGCATATTTCTAAAAATAAAATACATATTTTATCTGTTATATTGCATATAAATTCAAACGCTAATTATAAATATAATGTAGCTAATAGTATTTACCTGTGTAAAATACATAAATTATAATAGCATTGCAAATTCTTGCCTCCCCTTTATTTTAATTTGTTACTTTTTTTTATAATTCACTCACATGACTAAATATTTAACCTTTCATCATAATAAACTGATTTTTAAAAATAATGTGATACATTTTTATGTCAAGAGATCAATTTTATGATTTTTATATTTCAATTACAAATATATATAATTACTAATTTTTGATGGTATTAATAAACTGATCTACAATAAAATATTATTAATTATATTGAGACAAAGTTATTGACTTATACGTCTAAGCTCCTCTCAAAATTTACCAATTAAGTATGTGGTAATCTTGTAAAGTTTTAATGATAAATATCTCAAATTACTATAATTGTGCAGCTATTGTTTGAATATTTAAGGGTAATTTAATATTGTTAATAAAATAAAATATAAAACACAGAATCGATTGGTTCAATTTTAAATAAATATATCATGAACCAAGGTAGTCGAGATATTTTATTTATTTTATAATAGTAACGAACAATCCCAAAAATAACAAGAAATATTTATATATATATAAACACAATTACACAAGATTAAATAAAGTTTAAAGATTGTAAGAATGAGAAATATATTACAGAGAAAAATAATGGTTATCATTAGCTTTTAGATTATTATTTTAGGTATATTATGCACATTACCATTTCACTTCACCTGTAGTTAATAGTTAAAACCTTACAAAGCCTGAAAGCCATAAAACTAAAAACAATCGGAAGATAGAAAAATTATGCAATCTCATATTATAATGCATAMAAGAATGTTATTAAAAAAAAATAGTAAATAATAATATTATGGCATATACCAAAATGAGCGTAAACGCCAATAACATAATTTATTATTATTAATTTTGAACTATTTATATTATACATTTTCGGAAGAAATTATGATTATTTTAATTTAAATGTTTTTCTGACTTAAGCATCTAAAATTAGTACCAGCCTAGAAAGTAGACATATTTTCAACTTACGTGTTTCATTTTTTAGATTTTTTTTCTTTGATATGAGTGAAATTAATATTATAATTTTCTTGAATTTTTTTCACATGATCACGATGAGAAATTTCAGAAAATAATTTTCACTTTGCATGCATTAAATTTCAGACCTTTATAATATACTTTTACACCTTGACTATAATAATATGTACCTACCAACGAAAAGGATCAGCTGCAATATGAGTTTTGATGCGATTATGATTCTGAATATTCCATTTTAAAGGTTCAAATGTGTTTCGTGTAAAAATTATTACATACACGTCTTTCTTTGTTTCAAAATAAAAGTTATAGCAATATATTATGTACATACTCTAAAATTKAATTATGAATATTTTTCATGAACTACATTATGTTTTATTTTGTGAAATTATCAATAAAAATATTTATTTTTTTACTTTTTCCAACAATTTATTTGTTTTGTTGATTATACATAAATTTGGTCACATGCCAAAATAAAGATAATTTTTTATATAAATACTGAAATATAATTAATAACTATAATATGTGCAATTAATGTATTGCTAATACAATAATATATCCCGATAGATATTATCAATGTGACTCGTGTGGATTATTATTCATTACATAATATGCAGAACTTGAGTGTAAAATTACTTATATTACCAATTATATTTTTTAATGGGTAGGTACATACTATTAGACACTTTGTACATACAAATAATAATTATAGTTTTTTAAAACCATAATTTCAGCGTTTTAGTGATTTCTTTTAGATTGCGTCCAATTTAATCTGTCATGCCCATATTATTTTATTATGACCCTAGCTGTTTAGTTATAAATTTTATACTCTTACACTATATAGTGTTGTAGAAGTTTAGTGAGCTGCGAATGAAAATAAAGTTTAACGATTTTGTTTCGGATTTGATTAAAAATACAATAACTTCTGTATTRCAGAAAATGTTTTGTCGGGTTTTAATTTCGGGTGTTTGGCTTTCATTATGGTAGAGAATATGGTGATCATTGAGCTAGTCCCCATACTTGGAAGAAAATGCTTAGTAAAAATGAAACGTAGAAAAAAATCAATAAGCCAAAAATGGAAAACGAAACGAATGGAAAAATATGTGCCAATATTATTTTATTTTTTTGCTCTTTATCAGCATGTATTATACCCAACGCGTTATATAAAATAAATGTAAGAAATCAATGAAGTGGWAATTTCTGCGGACCGATGTATCATTTATAACAATATAATATGTAACGAAAAAAGTAAGAAATAATTCTTTTATATTTCCCATAACTGAAAAAATGTTACCAATGTTACCATATTTCATCGAAGTGGCGTATAGCTAGGTGCCTAAGAACCGAACTCAAGCACTCAAATTTGACGTATTTTATTTAAAAACGACAGCCTCGTAGGCACATTTTATTAACATATCTATGTAAAATAAATCTCGAATTCATYCACATTACATCTATGTAATATAATACTAATAATGATTATGCTCGTTAAGAAATTAAAGTATTCTCCAGGCACAAAAAAAAGATCGGAAGTAACCATTACACGAGTCAAAACAGGCCATTCTCACTTAACTCATGTCCATCTCATCCAAAAAGAAGCAGCACCAATATGTGATACTTGAAACAAAACATTAGCAATTGAGCATATTGTCATCACCTTCCCCAAATGCATCGAAGCACGCAAGATACTTAAAAATCCTGTTTCACTCCACCAAGCCTTCAAAATGAAAACACAGCTGCAACAGTACTTTCTTCCTTAATTCTTTTTCTTGTTTAACTTCTGATCAAATGTAGGCTAAAAACCTTTTTTATTGATCCCTTAATAAACTTAAAAAAAATAAATATTATGCTTAAAGTCATATCATCTGGCACTTAGTATTCAGTGAATATTTTTCGTACTTTTAAGGTCTATTCGTAAATTAGGCATTATAGCATAAATATTACAAAATACATTCGCACAATTTTTTTTTTTTGGTGATTTTTGAGTAATCTTAGAGTAAACTTAATTACCTAAATTAATTAAAGTAAACTTAATTACCTACCTCTAACAGAAATTATTACAGAATATATTATTTTATTTTTATTTTTTTGATCATAAGCCCGGCAACTATGACCATTAGCTGTTTATAAAGGGGGGGGGCGGTTGGCAAAGATTTCTTGCTAAAAACCGGGGTGGTCACAAATCCGCGAGCAAGCAACACTAGCCGGTACATACACTCAGAGCGATTTCACAGTTGAGCGTATGACTAAGTCACACTAAACCACTGTTTTATTTTGTTATTTCACTTAACATTGAACTTTAAAAATAAAAAATAACTGTATACATTTAAACATATATATATATATATATATATATATATATTTAGATGTAGAAAACATAATGCATGTTAATATTTATATACATAATTTTCTCATTTTCTATTGTTTCTAAACTTATGAATTTAGTCTATGATTACTCATAAATCTAAAAGTCGRATTTTGTCATCAGTGAAGAGAGGAGAGAGAAATAAATAAAGCTAATTATTAAGTTTATATTATTATATATTATTTAACACAAAACCTTGTGTACATATTGACAACCTCTCAATTATTATTAAAACAACTGTATCAGTTTATAATGTTATATATAATAATTCAAAGTATTAATTGTAGAATCCTATAGCTACTGCATGAATTCTTATATAGCTTATTAATTATGATTTATGAAATCACAGTCAAAACAGTGTCATATAATGAAAAGTCATCAACTCCAACATAATTGGTTGACCATGTCATTATCTAACCATAAATCTTCATCATCTAACCCAATCACTTAACTATTATATGATAACTATTATTATACATACATTTATTTCTGATGTACCTAATTATAATAGACACGAAAAATCCATTACAACAATAGGTATTATTATGAACCTGRCATCAATATGATCACTTCCAAGATTAGTKAGAAAACGATGGATATCGTTACGCGTAAAACAATTGTAATAGGTAGTAGGTGATAGGGTAAAAGAATAATATTTTTTTCTTTTTACAAACATTTAGCAAGTTGGAATGAAAAAAAAATGTATTTTATAATCCCAATAAGATTCTTCTTTGAATGTTACATTAGTATACTAAAATATCATTAAATTTAACAACCAAGTTCTTTTTAGGTTTATTTGTATTACAATACCATAGTGTTGCTGGAAGTACACATAATAAGGTAATAAACGTACCTACCTATAGTATATTTTTTTCTAGTAAAATTTCTTTCGTTGAAATAGATTAAACTAACAAAACAAAAACTTGTTCTTGAACATTTTCAGTACCATAATATTATAGTTTACTGTTTTAAAAGTTTCTGTTATGGATTTCTACTTTTAATTTTAGTTACATAAATATATGCAATAATTGAACAATTGTATTTTTTACATTAAAACGTCAATACAATGTCATTGTYTCATCATTATTATCAAGTAACGATATTTATAAGTAAATATCTAAATCAACCAATTAGCACCAATGATCAATTACATAATATGTCGTTACAATATTTTGTTTTTGATATAAATATTTAATTAATAATTGTTTTATACATTATAAAATAGTTGTAAATAGTTTGTTTAAAAACAAAAATCAACACATAAACAGATTTAACAGCGAAATATTGACTTCCATATAATATTATTTTTCTCTGATCATTTTTAATGACCAAATGACATGYTATATATTTCACATATATTATTATATAATATAAAGTTCAAAAATGCCTAAGATCTAACATTTATCACATTTCTATACGTCCGTCGTGTACCTACGATATAATAATATAAACATACACAAAAATGTACATACAGTTTTATTATTCATTTTAGGAGTGGAAATAAATCAAAAAATTATTATTAACAAAAAAATTAGGTAAATATATGGTATACCTTGAATTCAATTCCTTATTACTTTGAACCAAAGTATCAGACATGAATAAAAAAAATATATAGCGATACGCCACACTGACTGAATTCGAAACGAAAACTTAAAAACAACGTGGTGAATGATAAGTCAGGTTACATTTTAATGATATGGCTGTACAGCGGGAGTCATCCATAGTCGCTAACGACACTAATTGATGTCAAAATATAGTCTGTAGACAGAACGTTTTTTCGTGACCAGTTTGTATAATAAGTAAGTTTACTGATTGCGACCTAAATAATTGCTTTTT